TCCCTCCGCATTATCAAATGCCTTCCACCTACCTTATGCAATTTCTTCCTCTGTTCTTAATGATAATAGCTTACATTATATAGTACCTTTCATCCAGAAGAATCCCAAATGCTTTGCAGCCCACAGACAAGGATTATCTCGCCCACTACCAGAACTCAGCTAGGTCTAGGCTCAATGGTGTCACTTTTACGCCAGATATCACACGGCAATCCAAGGGATTTTTTTAAAGCTTATACTACTTGTAATTAGTACCTTGGGCCAGCTACTCAATTCTTTTGGAATTACCCCAGAACTGCAGTAGTCTCGTGTCTACATAGCAGGAAGAGGAGCCAACAGATCGATGGAATAAAGATCAATGTGTGACTGACGTGGTAGAAATACACATTGAGATCAGGCTAGGACTGTTTACCACCACGACTTCTCCAACACAAAGTACTGGCAAGAGCTGGTGCCTGCTAAATATGCTCAGGGCCCCCTCTCCACCAAAAGCACCCCCCACCCCCAACATGCCAAGTTGTATTCTTCACCATTTTTCTTTCCTTGTCACTACTTATTGTGCCGAGTTCATGCCTGAATACATAGCTCTACGTCCAAGTACACGTACGAAACAGAAAACTGCCTTTCCTTTCAAAGGCATTCTTTAATCAAGGTGACAGGTGGGGAGAATCAGTTATGTGACCAAAGAAGTGGTGATTTGAGAGCCTTACATACAAACAGGAATATAAGCAACAGCTCAGATACTTACTTAGTGCTGGCAGAAGCCAGTACTGCTTCCGGTGAAAAAGTTGTGTTCCAGAATGGAAAAACTAAATTCAGAATATAATTTGCTAAATACATATGTGCTAAATCAGGAATCTTAAGGGGATTATTACCCACCCATAAGCTATTTTGCTTTGTGTTATATGGCTTGCTATTGTCTTTAATCAGCAATAGCCCTGGAGTAGATTTTGGCAAACTGTCAGACCAGCACTTGAAAGCTGAAGCAAATCCATTTGTTCCGTTTCTTATATTAAAAAAATATGTAGAAATGAAGACAAAACTATCCTCTTCCAGATACAACTTGGCTCGGTCGAAGTCTACAGGAGATACGAACTAGGTTATCACAACTGAATGGTAGTTCAAGACTGACCTGCACAACAGTTTAAGTCTGTGAAGCCACCCCTCACACTCCCAACCTTCCCCAAGCAATCCAGTGTGGTAATCCACAGTGATGATATAGCTTACAGCTCACCATGGATCAGAGAAGGGAAGAAGTAGGCACATGTGACTCAAAAAAAAAAAAAAAATCATAATCGAAGTGCTGACTTCAGTATGAGACAAAATCCTGCCTATACTGATTTTTGGCAGGTGGGTGAAAGAACCTTGCAATTCTTTAGTTTTTAGAGCACTTGCATTTGGAACAGCATATTTCTATTTGTAAAATGTGCCAAGGGATTCTGTTAACATTTTAAATTAAGGTTTAAAATGAACTAATAAAGCAAAAGTAGTTTCACTGCATCTTATTTTTAAGAAACTTCTCTTCATACTATAAATATAACACTGGCAAGATAATGCACTGATCCATTTTACAAACATATTATAACTCAGCTGCTTGGGATTACATATTTTTATATCAATATGACAACAGTGTATTAAGATACGGTATGTGGAATGAAACAGCAATATATATGTTCTTACGTGCTGCCATCTTACCCAGTCACAGACACGCAGGCATGTATCAGAGGACCTATATTGCTTTTAACAGATAATGGGTATTCTCCCTTGACTCAGAGGGAGATAAAGTCTGAACTTTTCAGAGAAAGGAGTCAAGCTGTAGCTCAAAAGCTGCTGCAAGGGTTTCTGACTGACCATTCAGTGACCAGATCAACAATGACCTGGATGAACAAATCCAGATTAGGTTTTATTTGATAATTGTGCACCTCATCTGTCAGTTTGCAAAACCAAGCAGCCACACAGAACAGCAGAAAAAAAATCCAGGTTTTTTTCATGAGAACTGGAACAAAGGATTTGTGCTTGGTATTTGACTTGCTTCTAGTCAAAGGTGGGCAGGTTGGAGAGGACACCATTTCCTTCACAAGCCAGCTAAAGACGCTGTCGTTTGACCTTCACATTCTACGACCTGATACTTGAGTCTGCACCAGGTGTCAGCATCTTCAACAGGGCACACATGCATCACTACTTCTCTGTGGATTCAAGTGCTACATCAAAAGCCAGAGATCGTGCAGTCCTGCATGCTATATCTAAACTGAACTCATTCATTCTCTCCAGCACAGCATGTTATCTGATGGCTTTTTTTGTCCCATTTGCCCCCTATCTAGTCCTTCCATTTTCATAAGATTTTGCATCCAGGAGACTCAGATCAAATAAACCTAAACGTCAAACGAAATGATGAGGTTCTTATTTAGTTTTTCTGTTATGTCTCTTTTCTAATAGCTCATGTCTATTCATCTGATTTAGCTTGCACAAGCTGCAGAGCAGACTGCCTTCTGTGCTATATTTGGATGGCCACTAGTTAGCACCAAGGTCCGTTCTCCGTCAGCTTTCCAGCACACATATTTGGATTTGGCTGGATACCAAACCACCTTTCTGAAAACCTCAATAGTGACATTCTTCTGCTCACAAGTGGTATCTGCAAAAAGCTTCAGTATTCCTGAGCTAGTTAAATTACGATGCTAGATATACACAGTAGGCTGCAAGCAGTTTTGCAGCCAAAAACAGAAATAAGAAACTTACTTCAATGCTGAAGTACCCTCTGTCCACGTAGTCCCCCAGGAAGAGATACCGCGTGTTGGCAGGAGAACCTCCCACTTCAAACAGTTTCATCAAGTCAAAGAACTGACCATGGATGTCTCCACAAACTAGAAGAAAAAAGAAAAAAAGAGTAATATTCAGATTCACCATGTCAAGACCATCTTAGGCACACGCATTCTGAAGTCACTCTCTCTCATAAGAAACGTGTTGTGACAGTTTTGTGCATCATCCTCTAGTTAAATGACCAGCGAGAGCTGGCAGCTGCTCAGCAGAAGCTGTTTTTCTATGACGTGCATTCATGTATGTGTGCAAAAGGCTACCAACTAATTAAAGAAGATCCATCAGGAAAATTTGACCTGTAATTATTTTCATAGGTATCTGTCCATTCCTCCTACTGCCCAGCAGAGCACACGGTACTGGCAATACTATAAGACAAACCAAATCAGTCCTGAAAAGAGAACATGTTTAAGCAAGGTTACTCTTTCTTTCGACAAGAGAAGCTCCTCTATTTCTTCTAGTCTTAAACCCAAATAAAGACCAATAGGCTTTCCATAAAATGCAGAGCGTGCCTGTCCTGTGGATGCCACGGGTTAAACTGACAAATTTCTGACTTTTGGTTTCTGTGCAGAAAAATGGCCTGCTTGCTTTCCTAAAGCATGTCTTGCATGAGAGATCACTGATTTTTTTATGCTTTAACCTCTACCATTTTATTTAACCTTGTATAATTACGATTTGTTTCACTTTGCTGCAATGAAGTCAACCTAACAAGCGGCTTCTCTAGAAAGACCAGCTCCCGATAAACACGACAGACAGAGCACAAGTGATGCGCAGCCGGGGCTAAGTAGGGATGCCTCTTTTTGTGCTTTAGGGTTAAAAGATGGCTCGGCTATCTTTTGAAATTGCAGACTCCACGGTGGGTGATTTTAAGCATCTGCAGGAAGGCAGGCAATGCCTTTGGAGGTCCCCATGGAAGCTTAACTAACAGTGCTGTGTCCAAATCTGCTTTGTTTTTCCTTCATTTCCTCTACACAAGGAAGGGGAGAAAGAAAACCCCTATATCCAGTTTAGGGCCAAGCCCAGACCTTTTCTGGCAATGATCCTTAACTAAGAAAAATGTTAACAGCCTTGACTGTTATTGAGGTCAGTTTAGACCGGTTTTCCCTTCAATGACTCAAAGAAAAAAAACCCCACCAAAAACACCCCCCAAAACCCCCCCCACAAAATCTGATTTGCAAATGGAGAGGGTAATTTTGAAGAAACTGAATAAACTAAGGGTCCAAGATAGACCTTATCTTGCAACAGCAGCACAGCTTCTTATTTACTGCTAACACAAAATTCAGTAGACTTCAGATGCGCTCTGATGTAACAGTTCAAGCTTTTGTATTCAAGCAGTGCTCTCATTTGAGCTTTTATCTGGAAGTTGATACAGAGGTCTTGTTCCATCACAGATAAACAAACCTCAGGTTTATCGCATGCCATGGAGAAGCTGAAGTCACATTTCCACATAGATACAAAAGGACTATATAGAACAACAGCTGGAGCACCAAATCCAACAGACTTGCAGTGCAAACAGTATTTGTACATTGTTCTTTCAACTCAGTCCAGTGTCACATTACCTTTTTTACTTGCATCACTCTTCTCTGAATGTATACACTAACAATAGGATCATCATAATATTGCCATTCCATCCAAAAACTAAAAACAAAACCCAAAAAGCAAAAAATCCCCACTCAAACCAAAACCAACCAACCAACTTCCCCTCAGGTACAGAAAAATCCACTGGTGTCTCAGTCACTGCTTTCATGAATATTTATGTGAAATTGGTGACATAATTCATGAGTGTTGGCTAGCTGAGCATTCTTCTGTGATAGTTCCACATAAAACAGCATATAGTACTCTTATCACCATTGTGTTACATCGTATAATCTCTTTTTTCTAGTTGATTCCCCCCCAAGAGTTTTAGATGACAACTTTCATGCTGAAAGCCATCAATAGTTCTAATTTCTACCTAAGAATAATATCTGCCATTAATTATGCAAAATAAATACTATTTAAATCCTCAGGTGGTATAACACCACCTCTATTTCTCTAAAAAAATTTGTAGCCCAAAGGAAATTTTTGGAGAGCATTTTTATTTGAACACATTAATCTACCAAACCAATACACACTGCTTGACTGTACTCCTCTGCATGGACACTGTGGGAAGATTAAGAACACGTGTCGCATATTGATGGCCAAGCAATCTGCTCTCCTAACTTCCAGCAGAAAAGCTTTTAGTTATGTAACTGTACAGCTCTACCAATTATCGCCCGCCCCCATTTGCTCCAACTGCAAAAACCTGAAGTTGAACAAGACTGAAAGATTTTAAATGGAGTTAACTTTTGCTCTTTCACTAAAGCACAAAGAAACAAGATTTTTGGGGTGTTTTTTTTTGTTGGTTTGGTTTTTTTTATTTTTTTAAATGCAGACATGTGTGAACAGATAAATACATTGAGGCCTCTACAGAGAAACCAAGAAGGTTAGACAGCTTTCTCCAAGTAGCTGTATGTTCATGAATTTGTCACAAGTCAGAAAAACAGAGAGCAAAACAGTGAAGAGGACAGAAATAAAAAGTGCAGAGCCCTGAGATCCCACAACTTGCAAAATTCTGAATTGGACTTGAGAATCGATGCTTGATGGATAGTACAGGCATTTTGTACACAGCAACCTACCCTTTTCACACTTGACAACAGATACAGAGACGTATCCAGGAAAGAAAAAAACAAAGCCCTCCAACCCAACCTTGCTAAGCAACTAAAGGAGTTGCAAAAGAGAAGCTTAAAATCAGGAGGTAAAAGCAGTGGGGGGAAGAGAAGACACTCAAAATTAAGAGTTAACATTGAGATTTAATTTATTATAGTCAGATCCCAGAATTCCTACTGAAAGACCACAATGTTACATACGGTTAATCCAATTAGTGTTTTGCCTGGAATAGCATGGAACAGCTTAAGTATCTTACACTTTCCAGGTTTGCATGTTTGACCTGAAACACCCTTACAATGAAAAGCCTGCGTACTCATATTCTGATGGATGGTCTTGTTTACAAATAAATTAAAGTGCAATTTTGTGTGCATACAGTACTACACTCCATTTGTAGTTTGAAAGCAACTGCTTCTAAAGCTATAGTTCTGCCACCTTTCTTTTCCAACTCTTACAAATCTCAAAACTGGAAGATTTCCCAGGCAGGCAGATCAATGCTTTATCTTTCATTAGGTCAGGGCAGAAGAGATCCAGCATTAGATTTCCATTCATAAAGGCGGAAACATCCATCAGCCAATAACACTGCCACATCCTTCACTTGCAGCTTCCCGTCGCTAACAAAGAGCCTCGCAGCAGTGTCCCACCAAGAGACCACAGCAGAAGTTCCACATCCCTTCCACACCACCTCTACAAAGCTCTAAGAACTACCTTCCTCCTTTCACATTACAGAAAAAAATTTTGAAACCACACTAATTATTATATGTTCGTGTTTACTCCTGCACAAGCATTACCACTGGATCCCTTGTTCCTTTTAATTTTGCCAAAAAATATCTTTTTTTAGACTTGTGCAGACCCTCTTTTGGTATTGGAGCACTTGCTATCAAACAACACATTCAATGAGATATGAACATTGTTCCACCAAATAACAACAAAATAAAAACCAGCACCGTGAAGCAGGAAATTCAATTCTTAATGAAGATCTCCAGGATCAACGTACTTATGGATTTAAAGTATGAACGTAGGGAACGTAAAACACTGTATGTGCGTGGGATTAACATTAAAAGCAGCTGTGTTCGTACAAAACAAATTTATCAAAAGGAGAAATACCGGGTGCTATGTCTTCTGTTAGAAATGTACACATTTTCCTATATCACTGGTTTCCCAAAAGTGCCATCAAGTCATGGCGTTTTTACACTCATTAATTTATGATAACTAAATAATCTGACCGCATACTTTTTCCCCTAAAAAAAGACTGCTTAATTTGTCCAGTGCTTTTCAACTTTTTTGTATCCTTAAATTGCCAGCTGGGCAACAACAAAACAGCGTTTCCACTGACTTACCACTTCCAGGGATCAGTTCAGGCACCAAACCTGTTGTCTGTGAATTTGTCTGTCTGGACCTGTTGGTAGCGCCTACCTACCTAACCTCCCTTGGCAGCAAGCTCCAGAACTGCATGACATGCTACGTAAAGAGATTTTTTTTTAAAAAAAGATGTTTTAAACTGTTCTCCTACTGAATTCATTTGTGCAATCAGAAGGTTTAAGAAACACTCGTTGTTTGTGGACTACTTAGAAATTTATCTCTGTTAAGGATGTTTTCAGGGGAGACATGAGCCCCTCCAAAAGATTCAAGTTCACAGGACTGCCCATGCGATTACTGAGAAATCATGTTTCTGAGCAGCTTTTCCTACTTGTTATGATGGGTCCTTTGATCCACTACACCATCTTACACTATAGCACCAGACCTTTCCCAATGTAACACTAAAAAATACCATTTTATTATAAAAGTAGAAATTAGACACAGGGGAGAGAATGAAGAAGGGTTTTTTCATTTGTTTGGTTTTAGAAACTGTCATCCTAATACAAATTAAATTATGTTTCTGATGGCTTCACTGAGCAGGTCTCCCTCTGATTTATGTCAAAGTAACAAGCAACATCAACAGGAATAATTACGTTCAAGTTGTACTAGCAGTGAAGGAAGTCCAAAACTTTGCAGTGGTATTGCCAGCTTATTTATAGAAGACAAAGTGGTAGAGTAGTGATTTAGATTGCAACGATTATTGGCACAAATAAAAAGTCTGAAAATGCTCTTCAGATACCTTCCTTCAGACAACTAAATGCTCTTCACTATGTACAAACAGTCCAGAGATTATTCTGTGTGGTTTCCAACTCCAAATGGATATCAAGAAAAAAATTTTATATTAAACACTGTAAATTGTCAATTAAATTTTTTTTCCATCTCCAACAGTTTGGATATGCTGCACTTATTTTCTCATTTGTCACGTATATATTTAACTGGTGTAACGTTATAGTCTGATACTAAAATACCATTAATGTTTCCAGTGAATTTACATTCCATGTATCACAAG